AGGAAATTCTTGGTGAGGAGTGAAGTTAAGGTTGAAAATTAGGTGTTTGGGTCGAATCTCTACAATATCAATTGTGTAAGCTCTTCTTCTGTTCTTTATTTATTTTTCATTTGGTGGTTGGGAAAAAAAGAAAAAATTTGAAAATTAAACTCCAATTCAACCCTCCTCTTGGAGAATATGAGTTAACAAACAATAGTGGCTAGTCCTTATTTGATGATTTTAAAAGCTTTTGGACTTAAGCATAGAAATTAGCAAAGTTATTAATTAAGTACCTTTGCTTTGGATTTTGTTATACCCTAAAACAAATCCTATGATAATTAGGACATGTGGAGGCATTTTAGAGATAATCCTATCAAAAGTAGAATAAGATAAATCCCACTAGAATAAGAATACCCAAACACCAATTAAATAAAATTGTATTCCTAGAATAACTGTATCTAAGCATCCTATAAATACCTCTAGGATCAACCTAAGGAGATAGATTATTTTCCACTATAATTCTCCCTCTATTGTAAACTCTCTCTATCAATAAAGATCTTGGTTCCACACCATCTACTCTATTTTTACGGTTAACATTTGGCGCCCACCGTGGGGCCGAGTTCTTTTTGATCCACGAATACCACATGGAAAATTCAGAAAATTCATCACCTCCTAGCAGAAGCATCCCCGGTTCCAGAAGCAAAGCCAGGATGAGCAACTCCTCTTCATCAAGCACGAATCCAAGAGATACTGTCAACAGAACCAAACCATCAGACTCAACAGTAGCGTCACAAATACAGAAACTTACACAAGGCATGGAAGAAACAAGGCAAAGTTTAAAAGCAATCGAACGGGCCATAGCATCTATGACAAAAGCTACTAATACCTCGTCACAAGAAGCTAAGCGAGAACGTTTATCACGAAGTGACGCCAGGACACTTGAAGGAAAGGAGCAAGATTCAGCACAAGGAAACAGCAATCAAGATGAAAGCTACGTACCTTCAAAATCAACAGAGTGGACAGTTGACACGAGCTTACAACCATCCTCAGCTTTCACTCAGTACAATTTTCGAAATAAGAACATGATACCTCGTACACATTCAAGCCAAAGGAAGATTAGCCAACAAATCCAAGAAACCACACTCACGGCAGCAGGACCACAAAAGACAGAAACGCAGATTCATGATGACAGCGTTTACAAAGAAATTGAAGTGCTGCGGCAACATCTGGCAAAAATAGAAGCTGGTAGGCAGAGATATGCAGAACCAGTACACACAGCTTCAGTAGAAAAAGCCTTTATAGACGACATCACCAGGGAACCTGTGCCGCCAAACTTCAAAACTCCGCAGCTAGCCGAGTATGATGGAACCCAGGACCCAGTGGAGCACGTGCAAGGATATAGAATGGCAATGATGGTATATGGAGCCTCGAATGCCCTATTATGCAGGCAGTTCCCAGCAACTTTCAGGAAAGCTGCGCAGGCTTGGTTCGTAACATTACCAGAAAAATCTATCCAGACCTTTGATCAATTTGCGAACATGTTCATCAATCACTTCACTGCCAGCAGAGCTCCCCGAAAGACTAACTATCATCTCCTAACAATTAAACAA